TTCCTCCCATGCGGTTCTGGCGAGCTAAGAAAATGTTTATCTGCCTGAGCTTGGCCTTCATCCATTCCATTCCATCACATCTATACGCAGAGGGCGGTGACATGCCCATCATTCTGTAGGGCGTGTCAGGGTCTTCCCTTCCAGGGCAGTTAAAAAACATTTGAACAGTGATGTGAGGGAAAGCAATTCTGTCTCTCACCTTTCCTTTCACCACCCCCACGTAATAGCTGTGTGTATATGGAATTCCTTTTTGCAGGACTGTGTACCCTACATCTGATAAAGCAGAGTTCATCCAGTACAGCTTACGTGGAAAAAAAATGTGATCATGTTCAAGACATGACAGTGTTTGTCATGATAATGGGGGGGAGCAGAAGCTGCTTGTAATACAAATTTAGTTCTGAAAAGAAGTATCCTTGCTTTCTAAACATGAAGCAAACAGCAATGTTTCATCTCCACCTGACTTGCTTAGTGTAGGCTTATTTCCTCACACATCTTACTCTGTTTGTAGCAGCTCATCACAAGCTATTGACCAAACGGGTGGCAGAAACCCCCTTGCACAAGCAGATTTCCAAGAGGCTGCTGCACAGGCAGATTACAGGCCGGTGAGTGAAAGCGTCAGATTCATTCAACAGCAATTTGCCAGTCTTACTTGGAATAAAATAGAAGTTCCTTTCTTACTTCCTTTCTTTACTTCTACACCAGTTGCCGCTCCACTGATTTTCAAACATTCTTTTCTTCAAAGGTGTTCAGATCCTGGGTCTGATGTTGGCATTGTAGAAGAATCTCCTGAAAAAATCATAACCTGTAAGTACTGATTGACAAGCTCTTTCTTTGCATATCAAAGTGACTCCAGAATCGAGAGACACTGGTTAGAAGAATGCAACTAAAATTATCTTTGTAGCAAAGCAAGAAGGAACAAGCATTCTCCATGAATCTCTAACCTTGGCCTGTTATAGATTACTCTAGCTTGTACACAGGATACTGTCTGAACCTCAACAGGAATTTGAGAAATGACTAAATTCTGGCTCTGGGCACAGAGCAATGCAATAGGTGTGGCATTGTTATCTCAGCTGCTTTCATCCTTTGCAGAATCGCAGAGGCAGGATTGGAGTCACAGATGAGCTGGGGACTCAGCCTTTCCCCACTGGTACAAAGTGGCTACAGTTTCACCTGGGTCAATATTGTGTGTGTATGTGAAAAAGAAGCATCTCTCTAAAGGACATTGGGCTATGCTAACCACAGCACTTTATAGTTGAGTGTCCAGGCTTAGCGTTAGCTCTGTCTCTTAGTGCTGGTCTAGAAGACTTACTGGCTAGAGACAGAGACCAGCAGTTCCCCATCCTGCCAATTTATGCTTCTGAAAATAGTTGTATCTAAAGAATCCTTGATGGACCTTCAAGTGTTGTTTCTTTTGATGAGTAGGGCTTCCAGTCCTCAGTATTTCCTTCTAAGGGCGATGTCATCTATACCAAGCATTAGCGCTTCTTGAGTCTCCCCCTTTGTTCTGTTTTCCTAAAAGGTAGTTTAAGAAGAAGTCCACGGATAAAGCAATTGATGCAGGATAAATTTCTCTCCAACTCCTTCCACTCCCTAGAGCCAGATAAGAAGAAAACACCACAAGTACATTCTGTACATCTGGAAGAGCCAGGTGAGCAAGAAGATCTAACAGGGATGCAAGCAAGGGAAAGATTGAGGTTTCCTGACTTGTATCAGTATCTGTGTTTGGTCAATTCTCCACTACTTAGAACTGGTTTGTTTTTTTATTACTAGTTTAATTGTACCAAAGCCTTCCCTATATTCTAATACAGAGTAGACAACCTCCAACGTTCCAGATATTATTTCAGTAAAGTTCTCAGCATCCCTCACCATTGGCAAGTCTGGCTGAATGATGCTAGGAGGTGTAGTTCAGTAGTATTTGGGGGGCCATGGGTTTTGCATTCCGATTTATCATGATAAATGGCAATCATAGGTAGGCAGAGTTTGCTCTATGAACTTACAGACCCAGTTGCTTAAGCCTCTCTGAACTGTTGGATTTTTATTCACAGGTCTGGCTTCACCTCCCGTAAAAGCCACCCAATCTCCTAAGAGCATTCTCTTTGGAGAAGTTCTTGATGGATTTTGCTTGGGGAGGATGGGCTCTCCCCGAACAAGAAGAAAACAACTCATCTTTGATGAGCCTGTTCCTCAGGTAGAATTGCCCATCTTCCTATTTTTCTCAATACTTGTTTTTCCAGTTTCCTTGCTCTTTTTAACAGCTCTTGCTTCTAGATTGTAGTTTAACATTTACAGGGCATCTGCTTGGCATTTGTACAGTTAAAAATGACCTCAAGCTACTGACACGTAATGGATTCCTCGTTATATATTTATTTCAAATTTGTAAGAGTTCAATGAGATCAAATTGAGATTCCTTTGCTGATAATTGAAGAAGATACATACCATTTTTAAGGTTGTTAAATGGTCTTAGTTGATGAGGTCTAGCTATATTATAAAAAAATTACTACATTCTCCAGTTCTATAAAGCCCTTTGTTTTCACATATCTTGTATCGGACATACTAATCTTCATGCTTAAAAAGTGTGTAGCTTATTCTTTTCCTCTCTCTGTATCCCAAAGCAGTGATCTCTTTTCACACGTCTTCCACAGGCACCAGGGAAGAGTTGTTCTCAATCTTTCCAGGAGCTCTTAAATCCCAGCAGCAGCACGTTGAGAAGATCTCCTCGGATTCAAGAAAAGGCACAGTGGGCTCCCCCGAAAACCCCAGCCCTTAAAAACTCTGTGGCAAAATGTTTGGGAAATCTTTTCTCACCTGCCAGACAGAAGAGCAAGTCCTTGTCTGAATCCACTGAAAATAAGGAATCCCGTCTGCCCCGGATAACAGAGAGGAAGGGCAGGTATCCTTCCCCATCCAAGGCAGCAGAACTGCAAACTCCCAAAAAGCAACCACTGCCTGAGATGCTGGATGATGTATTTGTTTTGCCTGCAGAGGGTCCCAATTCACCAATTATTCTGTCAGCTCCTCCATCCCCATTCAGCGTTCAGGGGAAGTCACGCTCAGAACTGCAGTCCCCAAGACGTTCCTTGAGAATTGCCCAGAAAACAGCGCCCACGGCTTCGGCTGAGAACCGGACTTTTGAGATAAGAAGAAATACGTGTCCAGAGCCATTCTTATCCGTGGAGGTGAACTCTCTGCTCTCAGTTGCATCATCCGCAACCTTCAAAGACACACATCCAGAACTGGGTTTGTCTCCAAATATTAGGACTCTCACTGAGACCTCTTCAGAGATTCATTCTGCTTTCCAGTCTGATGGTCTCTCTCCACCTTGTAACGGGCCGGCAAAAGCTGTGAGCCCTTGCACATTCTCTCCAGCTAGGGAAAAGCTGGGAAGAAAGTCTTGTACTCCCCAAGAAACTCAAACCGTCAGAAAGACCTCCCCAATAAAAGCTCTCAGCTCCCCTCCTTGCTTGCCTGAGGAGGAGCATCCCTGTATGAACAGCAGGAGTCTTTTTCTTAAAACCAGCCCATTTTTTAAGCCTGGCAATACAGAGGTGATATCCTTGGATCAGAGATATGAGCAAACAGCTAAAATAATAAGTCCAAGTAAGAAGAGGGATTTAGAGAGATGCCTGCCTCCTGCCTTCTCCTCCAATAATCCCACACACATTGCACATGCCATAGTAATGTGTGAACAGTTAGATGTGTCCCCCCTTCTCAACAAGTCTCTTTCGGAGAGTTCTCATGTAGATCAGGGTCCCAAGGTGTCACAAAGTACCATTTCTTCAGTAGAAAAAGGTGTAGGTTTTCAACCTCTGCTCTTCTCAAGTCCTCCCGGACATGATCAGGCCTCCCTGCTTGCAATCTCAAAGTCAGGTTCTTGTGCCTATGCATTGCGTTGCACCCCTGACAGAAGGCAACGGGAAGCTGCAGCACGATTTGAGATGGCTGAAAGGATGGCAATATCTGGTACTGTTGGGGCTGCAGCTCCTCCATCGACCTACGAGGTTGAGCTTGAAATGCAAGCTTCTGGTCTGCCAAAGCTCCGCATTAAAAAGGTTGCTTCTGAGGCAGGTGAGGAACAGCAGCCTCTTGTACCTGAAAAACTCAAGGGGGAGGAAAATGATCGTACTACGGGGGATCTTTCAGTGGCCTGGTGTAGTAGGCACTCAGAGAAATTGGAACCAGTGTCCATCTCACCGTCTTGTGTTCGCTCTGCCCATAATACCCCTGGGAAGTTTGGGATTGGTGGGCAGACATATATATGCCAGTCATACTCACCAACTCTCTGTACCTCATCTACAACTTCCCCATCCCAGGGCAGCATTGGTATCCCTTGGACTCCATCTCCGAAACATAAAGGGAAGGTTACCCCTGAAGCTATCAAAGATTGGCCACGAAGAAAAAGGGCTGCTGTTGGCTGCAACAGAAGCGAAAGGCCAGCAGAAGCTGTTGGAGAAGAGCCAGCCCCATGTACAGGGGGCAGGGAAGCATTAGAACTCTTCAGTAGCAGAAAGGTTCAGCACTTGGGAGAACCAGAACTTGAAGGAATATATAAGCTTCAAGATCAGTCACTTGGCAGTGATACAGAGGGCAGTAAGGAGGAAAACATTTGCAGGAACTCTCTGGGGCTAGAGTCTAGAAAAAGGGCTTTGGAGCAAACACCATTAGAAGAGGCCAGCCAGGAAATGAAAAGGCCATGCCTAATAAGAGAGAACCCTGAAGCAGCTGTCTACTCAACCAAACGGCTGAGCGTGGGAGAACAGACAGTATCCTCCAAGTCAATGATCTTGGAGGACATCTTCAGCTTCTCAGGTACTTTTGGACTGATTATACCTACTATTGTCCTTTCAAGGCAGTTATTAAATATGTTATTCCCATCTGCCAGACCCTTTCATATAACCCTAGAGTTTGAGTACAAATTAAAGCATTCCAAGCAGGTGGCTGTTCAGACTCTCTTTTACATATTCAGTTAAGGGGAGGCTCACCACCTATCTCGGTCATTGGTTCATTTCTTCTGTGGTATGTTGATGTCATGAGAAGGGCATTGAACCTGATCTTGATCTTTAATTCTAATGAGCTGCCAGGAAAAGCCTACACACAACTGTTGATTCCTTGCTTTATTTTCTACTTACAGCCAGTGGGCTCAATGAAAGCCATTTTACCTCTTGTGAAGAGCTCCTTAGATTTTCCTCCAATGTTAGATGCAGTTTCTTAAAGTACTTTTAACCCTCCTGTTTTCCCAACTCCAGATATGACTCCACCCAAATCTTCAGGAAAAGGTGTGATCTCTGCTAGTGGTCTTTGGGCACTGGAACAGTCCCCACTCCTCTATAAAGGCCATCCTGCATCCCTGAGGAAGTGCCCAAAAGGTACACAAGGTTGCATTTTAAACAACTGGTGTAATGCCAGGGAAAAGCCCCAGAGTAACAACATTTAAATGGAGCTAAATTTCTTGCATGTAGTATTGTGAAGGTGCAAGTTCCTGACGTCCTCCAAAGCATCTGAGGCTTGCATATTTGAAACATTTGTACTTCCTTTTCAGCCAAGGAAGGGCTTTTCAATGCCGATAATGAGAAAGCCCCTGCTCTTACTGAGTGTGGCTTTAAAAACATGAGAAAAGAAAATGATGCGAAGTGAGAAAGGCAAACAAGCAAATTCAAGCGCTGGCTTTTGGTTACAATGATCTTGGGAGAATATCCATAGGGCATGAAGCCAGGTTGCAGCTAGGTTTGATTTTCTGAGCAGGAACTGTAGCTGAAACGGTGGCTTGTTTGAGGTCAACTTTCCTTAACCCTACCTTTGAATGGTGACTGAACTCAGCAGATGGCAGCACCCAGACCACCTTAGGAGTTAAGCAGGGTCCATTCAGGTTAATATTTGGATGGGGAACCACTTAGGAGTTCCAGGGCTGTAGGCAAGATTGGAAAGTCAAAAAAAAAAAAGTGGTGATGGCAACCCTTTCTCTAACACTGCATGGATGTAGCTCTCAGGTTGACTTGAGATTGTCCCTAGCCGTGAATTACCCTAAGCATGGTTACACAGAAACGTGTGCATAATAACTAGCAGGAATGAAAGCAAGTGAAGGGAAGCAGAAGCTGCCGGTGGTTGGAAAGAACTACAGGTAGTCCCCAGTTTAAGAACGGGTTCTGTTCCCAAGATCTGTCCTTAAGTTGCATTTGTAAGCCGGAACAGTATTATTGTGTAATACTGTATAAGTAGTATTGTGTATTGAACTCGAATTTTGCTACAATAGGCTCTGTCTTAACTATGGGTCGTCCTTAAACTGGGCGTTCTTAACCCAGGGACACCCAAATAAGAATTGATAGAGGGGAGGAAGCCTGATTCCTTTTCCCCTTCAGCTGCAACTTGATGCTAAGCTGGATGACGGCAAACTGTTTTCATCTTTCTTTTGAAAAGACATTCCCTTATGGAAGTTAGAAAGCCCTACACACCCTTCAAGCAAGTAGTGAGTTCCCCCATCTCTGTTCTTCACATTGCTCTGTTGGGATTTTTCACACATATTTTCTCATACAGGGGAAGACTCAGATGCGTTTGGAGCTGCAAACGAGGACGTCTCTCTTTTTCGCAGCACAGCTGCCAGAAAGCGATCCAATACTAAGACCTACTCACGGAAAAGGCCACTCTGCTGAAATGGGAAGGCAAATGGGAATATTTTTAAGCCAGACATTCAACCTCTTTGGGACAAACTTTACAATCAAGATCAGGATTCGGTCACCAAAAGGCATTGCTGTGTGTGGCTGGCAGTGATCCATGGCTGAGTTCCAAGGACAGCAAAAAGAACAGTGTTTTATATAGGTTTTTTAAAGTAAGGGCTATGCTACGGTATGGCCCTTATAAGGTTTTAAAAGTCAGGAATGTCGTGAACGGAGAACAGTGAAAGTAACCACTTTTAAATTGTTCTTTTGCAAAATAAATTAATTTACTCTGAGAAACTGATTTTTCAAATGGTCATTAAAGCTTTAGCATAGCTTAGATTCATGCTTAAGTACTCCTAGGCTCAATCTGATTCAGCCACACTTTTGACATCCTAACCCTGAACCTGTTGGCTGTAACTGCAGGGAAAGAAAAATTAAATACTGCTTTAGTCAAGTTTATGATCAAACCTCTTCAAGGGGAAAGTATATAAACTACCTCTGACATATTTACAAATAGCTACTCTAGTTTATTGAAACTACAGTCTAAGAAGCTAGTTGCAAACAGATCAAATTTACTGTCACCTCTTTTGGATGATACTCATGGGAAATCCAGAATTGCAAAGGTAGGTTTCTGTAAAGAACGAAATAACCAGTAAAAGGCAGCTGTACAAAAGTAACAAAAGCCAGGGAAGCTTGGGTAAAAGATTTGTGAAGGCGTCCACATTTGACTGGGTTCGTTCATTACACTAAAGCAGAATGTGATTTGTGCAGTAAAGCCTGTATATGGAGATTGTACATCATTGGAAGGCATCTCAGAGCTCATCAGTCCCCTTCCCAGGGCCAGAATCCACTACTATAGCATTCCTGTAGCCTCTGCTTAAAGACCTCCAGTGAAGGAATCCACCAACTCCCAAAGCAGTCTTTTCCATTGTTGAACAGTTTGTATCATTAGAAAAGTCTTGGTGTTCAACTAAAGTTTACATGCTCAAAATTGTTTCTTGTCCTACGTTCTGGAGCAACACTGCCCCATCTTTTATGAGACAGTCCCTCAGATACTTGAAGACAGCTATCAGGCATCTTTTTGTTAATCCAAGCGACTCCTGTATGTTCAGTAAACCCTGGTTTTGCATGATGGGTGTACCCAGCTGCTGTCTTTTTGATTAAGTATATTTATCAGCAGCTATTTTCAGTAGGTTCTTATTAACTTATTTTAGATGGAACAGTCAATATCTCAGAACTAGAGTGGATTTTTTCTGACATCAATGATTTCTGGATAAGACAACCCAGGAATGGTGTTCTGGCTGGCCCTGTGCAGTTCCTTGCGGGATCTCAGTGGCAAAGGGACCTCCTTGGCCTGGTTAGACCTGGAGAGAAAATCTGTCTCTGTTTGCCAAAAATCTTCCACTGTCAAGTTATTGGCACCAGATAGTGAACAGCGCCTCCAAGTGGATGGTAGTGGTGCATGCACCAAGTCCCGGGGCTCCTCTCTATTTCTTTGATTCCTTTCTGAGGGCTCCAACTGCAAGGATGACTCCAGCTGGCCATTTTTGGTCAAATCTTCATATGGCCTGAGTGAATTGGGTCTGTCCCCAACTGCAAGAATGCTTCTGTCCATACCTGTATGGGAAAAGAATGTTTTACTGTGAGTGATGAAGCAACACGTTGGGCAAAGACATCACATGATCTAGTAGCTGTGGTTTGGGTTTCACAGAGCCAATTGCTTTACATGCAGCAAAGCCATTTTGAATATACCTGAGTGATGCTCCAAGCAGATGCATTATATAAATTAGGCAACTAGCAGGTAATGGTCAAGCCAAGCGATGGGAGAGAGGACCAGCAGGACCCATACACTCAGAGATGACAACCCATAATGGTGAGGGCTCTCCATACAGTCCAACCCACATGTTTAGCTCCTGGTGTTCCTGGGCCAGCATTGCCAGACACCTTTGGTGCCATGGCTCCTTTGCCCTTCTAACCCACCGTCTGCCCAAGGTGCCTGTTTTGAAGTTCCTGGGTCCACATGCATCCAGTTCCCATTTGTGGGCCATGAAAGGCACCAGACTGATGCCTCTGCAAATGTTGCAATGGTTCCCCCTCCAAATTTAACAACCAGTTTGTGCAAACCAGACCAAAATAACTCTATTTCAACCCTACGACCAAACCCACTCTGCTCAAAAGTAGGTTTGGTAGCATTCATTAAATGTCAGTCTCAGTGAAGAGCAACAACAGCAGTTTAAGCAGAATCCTGGAATTCTTTACCGCCTCAAGACTGTGAAGAGGAAGGGGATGTAGGAACTTTGCATGCTGCAAAGGATGGTTGGACATTTGAGGGGATGGCTAGCTGGCCGCCTGTTTAGTGGGTGCTTCATGACTGGTCACATCCACTGAGACAGTCATTTTGTGAGATGCTGTCAAAATTCCAAATGCATCATAACCTGAAAACATCTATCCATCTTAAAATCCAAAAAGCTTTCAGATGAGCCTTTCTAGAATGTGTCTGGAAATGGTGCAAACTAAAACTGGGGCCTTTGAATGCTCTCTTACACGACTGACTTCACGCTATGGACTACATCACAACTTTTGCCAACTCCAGGGTTGCACATAGGCTTTCCTTTGGATGCCATCCTTAAGCCCCACAGAGTTATTTGGATCCTCATTTCTGACTTTAGATAAGTTTTAAGTTGGTGTAATTACTGTAGCTCTTATCCGTTTATTCCTCCCTATGTTTTTCACTGCTTACCTAAACTATAAGTTACTTTGGTGGGACAAAGATCCGTCAGTGTTTACTTTCTTACAGACAAAACGATACAAAAGAGGCACTTCTCAAATTGTCCTATGAAGCAATATCAGCCCTTCAAGGTAGATCAGACTAGGAATCCAATGTCATGAAGGTCAGCACCACTTTCATTGTAAAGCTATAGTAAAAGAACCTTGCAAGTCTGAATGTACTTCCCTCTCCCTCACTTTATCTGTAATGGTACTGTATGTGGGAATGACCTTGGGAGAGTGGGCCCAGAGACCCTGACTAGGTAATGGTCAGATAAGAGACAGCATAATCTGCAGCTGGATAGTGGGCGGGGCAAGAGTCTCAGAAGAGACCCTCCCTAATTTCTTGGGGTGTAAAAGAGACAGGGGAGAATTGTACTTTCAGACTTGCAAGATTCTGTTAATGTAGCCTTACATTAAAGTAGAATTAGCTCATCTGGCCATGTTTCCTGTCAGATGGGCAAGTCTGCCTGGTAAGGCTGACATCATCTTTGTGTGGACTAGGGAGGGTCTTATCTGTTTACTCAGGTTACATTCCTGCACATGACTCAGTACTTCTTTATCTGACCATTGTCTTGGTAGTGGCTCTTCCTCCTGTCCCTCAAGGCCATTCCCTCCGTCCACTACATCCAGCAGAAAAATAAAGGCAAATTCTCCATACCACAGACATAGCCTCACCTCCACTGTGTCCCTCTGACTGCTTTAACTTTTGGTTTAACTCCCCATTTAGCCACTTGTAATGAGCCAATTCCTTTTCCAGCATCTGGATCTTTTGTTCATACTGAAGCCTGCTGTTTGCCTGTCCTTCTTCTATATGCTCTGCAAAAGAAGGAAGTAAATAAAGGCTGCTAAAAACAGAGATTTGAACAAACAATGGTGATGATTACTTGCACAACAAAGACAATCACTAAAAAAATTAATTAAAAAGGACAGCAACTGAAGGGAAACAAAAGTAAAATTTCAAAGTGTGTGTGCGTATGAATGCATCCGTTTATATACCTTAGGAAATATGGATGATAACAGCAGCGTTTGTTACAGAAGAGTTTGGGGTGATTTTCCCAATTTCTTCAAGAACTTTCAAACAAAACAGAATGGCTAATTTGGGCATAGCCACCACAGATGGCAAGATGTCCCCGTTTTTCTTACAAACCCACCTAAACAACTAGAATAATTACAAATTTATATGGTCCATTTTTAGGGAAGCTAATGTCATCAGTGATCAAATGAGGATTTAACAGTGGCCATGATTGCTCCTCAGCCCTATAGGCTCCCTCTATTACCCCGACTCTGCTGGAGCAGAAGCTGAATGTCCTGCTCATGATCCTTCTGCTGCAAGGTCAGCTGGCGGTCCATCTCCAAGCGCTGACGCTCCAAGGCCACCTCCAACCAAAACACCAGCTGTAGCTGCTCTTCCAGCTGCATTTCCAGTTCGGAAAACGCCACGTTCTGTTTGTGCTGGTCTTCTCGCAAGGTCACCACCTGATCAAAGCCAAGCTTACATGAACATTTAGAATATTTCAACTCACTGTGGTTATGAAAAAGGTAACATGGCAGTTTTATGAAGCCAAACTTTCCCATGCAACAGTTATTGTATCCCAGAACTGAACAGTTACAGAGCAGTTTCATTAGCTAAATGTTCCTCTGCAAAAGCCGATCAATTTCTCAACAAAGAAAAGTGACGTGCAAGGGATAAGCCTACCTTCTCTGGCATGCTATCTTTCTATAGTTGGGGGTCACATATTTCTGAGCCATGCATTGTTTTAATGGTTTTATTGAAGAAAACACAAGGAGATGGCCAAATTGATTTCTTGGATCAGAGAAAAGACAATATCTACATTTTGCTGACTGGAAACCCCTTGTGGACTGCTTTCCATTAAAACGGAAGAAGTGAACTTATGATTTATGGTTTTGATGATTAGATAGGATAGATTATAGAGAGTCATGATGTAACTTCAGAGAAAGAGGTAAATTAATAATTGTACTTATAACTGCTGTAAAGAAGATTGGAAGCCACTTCTGTGCATCTTTCTTCTTTCTTTTCTATTTTTCTTTTACTTTTTCTTTCTTTCTTGCACTTTAAGCTTTCGCTTTGATTTCTTCCTTTTTCTTTTTTTCTTTATATTAGTTTGTATTGATTTTTATCTTTGTTTTTAAACTTTTAATAAAATTATTTTTTTAAAAAGAAAACACAATGGCTGGTTCAAACAGAACACTAAGTAGTGTTTACAAGTTATAATGGCTAGGCTTGTACACACACTAACCCAAACTCAGCAAACTCCAGCATGGCTTAGCATGATGTGTGTGAGTTCAGCTTGGGAGCAAAATTTAAAATAAGTGGAAGACCGTTTCTCCGTTTCTTATGTGAGCTGCCTCTCTAGAAAATTACATGTGTCTGAAATGGGCTGTGGCCTAAAACTCTTCCAGATATAGATTTATTATCAATGTGCAAAGGAATCCATACATTGCCCATTCTTGATATGGAACAGCTGTTTGGGGGTAGTTGATTCCCCGACCATGATATGGAACAGACATGGACTAAAACACTGTTGTTCTGGGCAGAAGCTTCTTGGTTGGGATGAAGGTAAAAGCAGGAAAATGCCACCACTGATGGCAGCTGTGGCTGAGGGAAAGCGAGGGGAAGGAAGGGGCTGGGAAAATCAAGGGGGCAGGCAAGCCAGTAGTATATACTGCAGTGGGACATATAGTGATGGCTTGGGGAGGCAGGGAGGGAAGGCAGTTAGAAGATGGGTGGAGGTAAGAGGGCCAATGGGATATCACTGCAAGCTCCTAAGGAGAGAAGGGCAGAGATGGGCAATATACTTGTCTATATGCCCTTTAAAATCACTCCAGGATTCCTCCGGATTTTCTTTTGGTCAAATCCCAGAAGCACAAAAACGTTCCAAGTTCTGCTCCTGCCAAACCGCAGAGTAGAACAAAACACCTTTTCTGTTTCGTGTACACCCATAAAGTTTACCACATCCTAAGGAAGGAGAAGAGTTCACTGAAAAAACACATCTCTTGTTGATTTTGAAAAGTGACCAGTTTCAACAGCACCTCCTGCACTATTTGATTTCCCATTTAGATTGCCAGTCAGAAAGAAACGGGTCAGCTAGCATAGCTAAATAATGAGGAATGCTGGTTCTTGTACTTCCTCACCCAATCGTAAAATCACTGCTGAGTAACTGTATTGAATAGCCCCTTACTGGAGGAAGGACACCTATATTACAGACCACAGTTTTAGAAATGTCCTAGATGCCACTTCCTCTTCAATTAGGTATCTACTGGGAAGAAAGCAGGAGAATAAGACCTGAACCTAACAATAAGAAAAGCATTTCTTGTCCATCATCTTTGTTTCTTTTCTCCCGGAAGTTGGGCCAAACTTTAGCAATGCTTTTGCATCAGTTTGATGCCTACCTTATCAAAGTATTTGCAAAGCAGTGCCCGGGTCTCAGAGGAAGAGAGGTAGCTGAGTTTTGCCATAAGGTTCATCTCACACTGGGACAGAAGGCTGGCTGAGGACCTCAGAACCCGCTGTCTGCAAGTAATGGACTCATTCTTATATTCTATGGCAGCATCCAGGGCTTCAATGGCTTCATCCAACTGGAAAAGAATCCGTTCCTCCTAAAAGCAGACCAAACCCCCGACCGCGAGAAACTATTTGATCATCATGAGTAGTAAATTGATACTTCAGTCAGTTGACTAGATTTCCAATCCTTGCTTTTTCCATCCCTCCCTCCCTCCCTCCCTCCCATTCCTATAATACAGTTATTGTTATGGCCACTAGTAGAACAAAGAGAGATGGTGATTTGTCCCAAAGTATCACCAAGACCATGTTTAAGTAGAACAACATTCATGGTACAGTACAAGCTCCAAGATACCCGATTATCATAATGACTACAATTTAAGCATGCTCAATCTCTCAACCCAATCTTTTTCACAGAATTCCTGTCATGGGGATAAAACGAAGGGTGACCTCCATACAGCAGCAGCCAGATGGGGGTGGTCATCATCAACAAGGTGGCAGATGGAGCATTGGGAGAGAAGCTCTGCCCCTTCTGTACCTCTGGCTGAGGAATTCTGGAGGTTGAAGTCCACATACCTTAAAGTTGCCAAGGTTGCTTTAGACTATTCAATAAACCAGTACAAGTAGAAGGTAGCTACTCACTGCAGGATATTGGTAGTGTTCAGAATTAAAATACAGTACGGAATTCAGTGGCACAGTGTTTCACCAACTTCCATAGTGCTTCAACCAAACTTTGATTTTACATCTGCTCTTGTGTGTGTGGTAGGTTTGTTATCATTCATTTTTAAAATAGAAGTACCAGACCTGTGAGCAGATTGTAATTTAAGTACAAAGGAAACAGGGAAATGGAGTAAAGCCTGCAGCTTTACTAGTTCCTACACACTGCTTACCTCGGGTGACAGCAAGGTGCCCTGACGTAATTTCCCATCTATCTCCAGCCTCTGCTTGAGCAACTGGTCCTTCTCCTGCCGCAAATTATTAATTTCTTGCCGGATGTGCTGCTGGTCGTGTGCACTGCTGCGGCAAAGCTGCCCATTCCTCTGTGTCAGCTCTTTTTCCAGGTACTCAAGACGGCTGGACACACGAAGAATGTCATCATTCAGAGCCTGAGGCAGAAAGAGAAGGAAGAAATCTTAAGAAACATTCAGTGTCCAACAGTCAGACTTCACCCTGCAAGTCTGCCAGACTCCAATAACTCCTGGTAAGTAAATGTTTACTAAAGATGGGTTGGGATGGCATAATTAGACAATGTCAACAGATGCTGCGTTTTAAGAACAAGACCTATATTTAGAAAGAATGTTCATTCTCCTTGAGTTTCTTTTCCCTTCACGGTGGGCTGCTTGCCCCACTCTTTTGAATGGGCTGGCTTGTTTCCCTCTGCCCTTTGTTTTTGAAAAGGTCAAGTTGGCTTGATTTCTGTTTTTCACTAACTGAGAATTAGCTCTCACGCCAATGGCCAAACAGGGCTGCCATTATATTCCACAAGCACCAGAAGGCTGCTTTGGAAGAGCAGATCATAGAATCATAGAATGAGAAGGGATCTTAGAGGTCACCCAGCCCAAACTCTGATACACCTAGTATCTGACAGATACTATCCAGTCTCTGTCTGAAGACCTCTAGCAAAGAAAATCACCTCTTCTTCCTGTCTACAAATCAAACATACACATGTAGAAAAGATAGGGATGGAAAGTATGGCTGGGTCTGTACATGACTGGGGTGGGATTCTTTTAACCTGTTGAAGAGTGGCCCAGATAACATTAAGCCATGTACCATCCTAAGCTCCGAACACATTGCATTATGACATACCGCAGAGGAATAAGCAACCCAGAAAGCCTTGGATATGGGTTCTCAAAGACCTCCAAAGTTGCTACCAGACTATAAGGTTTAATGGGACAGACTGGGGAAAGCATTAGATATATTAAACGTTAGCATAAAGGAAATGAAATCAAATTTAGATTTTTTTCCCCACCTTTTATTTGGACTTGTCTTCAGAATGTCACTCAAAGGATCAAGCTTCACAGAAAAAATGGAGCTTCCCTAATTTACAATAATGTGCGAACTTAGCATATAACTTAGATATAATTCCTTATGTATTACCTTGGTGGTATGAGATGCTGTGATGGACAAGTGTTGCAAATTGGACTCCAAGTTAGGATTTTTCTCCATCTGCCAAAATGCTATCTATTTGCAGACAACTACATCCCTGGTATTTGAGGTGGAGATGGAAAGGTGGAGAACATGTAGGAAGTTCAACCACACCAAATTCCCTGGATGATGGAGGATGAAAACAGCCACCCCAATCCAATAAAACAGGAAAGAACTACCTCAGTCTTCTGCTACATAAAGACTGTTCCAAGAACCAATTCAAAGAAAACAGGGCAAGGTACAGTCATTACAGTAGCACTTCCTCATTTGCCTTTGTGACATCAGGATTTGCTTTGAAGATGTCGAACCTTAACAAGTCTTCTTTTGTCATTAATCACAGGTATTGTTTGAGGGCCAGAGGCTACTCTGCACACTGGAAGAACAGGCAGAGAAGGGATGCAGTAGGCCAGGTAATACTGCAAAGAAGGCAGAGGCGGGATTTTCTGGGGGGATTCTTCTTACCGTCTGCAACTGTTGTGTGATCCCAAGAAAAGACACAGCTGCTTTAAAGAGTTGCAGATAAATGCATTACTGGCACCCCTGTTCTGAAGCATCTTTCTGAAATCAAGCCCAAAGCACTGCACAATAGGGCCAATAGAATTGCCTAAGCCTATTCATATTGATTCAGAGCCAGTTACCCCGCACTTAACAGAGCTTAATGCTAAGTCAATGTAGCAGAGGAGTCAGAGTCTATACATTTTGTATAAACAATTCATCATTTGCTCAGCATCTTTTACACAAGTTGCCAGTGTAAATGTTTGTCTTTCTTTTAACCAACTCCCTTGACCAATGTTGATTGCTATACTCTTTGGGAAGGGGGCAAATATACTCAAAAAGCAAAGTGACATTTTGCCCACCTGGCTAGAGCGGAGTCTCTTGTTTTCAAGGCCATTCTTCTCCTGAAGGAGAGCTTCCTTCTTGGCCACAATGGCTTCCCTTTTGGTCAATTCATCTTCCAGCTCACCCAGGGCACGCCTCTGCTTGAGAATTTTTTCCATCTCCAGATCCAACCATTTCTTCTGCTCTTCAATTTTCTGACAAAAAAACCAGAAGAAAGCAGGTGGTCCCAGTGACCAGACAGGATAGACAATGTGTAAATTTTTATTGTCAACTACCAAACATAATTCCTCTTTTAAAGAATCCATAGATGGCTGGACTAATCCCCCAAGTATATTATCTTCTGTCCCTGGAGTTCATGGGTCACCCCTTCCAATTACTTCAGAGATCAGAATATTTTTGTGATACTGTTTTGGTTCATACCTAGAGCTAAGCCTTTAACCTGTTGGTTTGATTTCATTATCATGGTTCACATAACATTCTACCAAATTTTGTTCGCAAACCACCAAATATCAGCTCAGCCATTTTCCATTTTTTGTCAAAGAAAGAAATGAAATAGTTGCATTAAGACTACAACAGGCTCATAGTCTATGTTTTATTTAACCTGTTGTCAGTCAAAAAAACTGAGGAGAGAATGGGCAAAAAAATCTAAGCCTGCTTTATCAAATTACATCACTGCTATGGCCCTGGCAGTCCTGCCTTAAGAACGGCTTCAGGTTTTATGGCTTACTGTAATGTTTGAACCAGCCACTGTGGCCTATTGAACACAATGCAGTGTTGGCACATCATGGAATAATAAAAAAAGAACATCTAATCTGAGAAACCATCTGCTAAATACAGCATTCCCTTTGCTTTCCATGGTGGCAGCCATCCAGGGAAGAGATACAAAGAGCACAATGGCTATTTCAAAGAGGTTATCCCTTTGGGGTCATCATGGAGAAGATCTATCTATGTGGTCGCTAGGAGTTGAAAACGACTGGATGGCACCCAATCGATCAATCCCTTTGGGGAATAAAAAGGGGGAATGGGGAGAAGTTCAAGGTCAAAGTCATCAAGATGATGCCTCCATTAAAAAGCCACAATGACGTCCAGATGACGATGCACGCATCCCAACGTCGCTGTGCAAATGACATGATGACGCCATTCGTGTCATGATGTGAGAGCTGTCCTTTGCCCCACTTGGGAACCTCCACCCTGCAGCTTCCCGCAAAGAAGCCAGGAGCGGTTGCCTTTACCTGCTGCTGTTCTAGGCTGATCATTGAGTCATTGCTACCGCTCCTGTGCTTCCGCTGGTAGGCGGCTACTTCTTCGGTTTTGATGCGCAGAATCTTCTGATGTTGCTCGTGCTTCAGCTCCAACTCCTAAAGGTGGAAGAAAAAAAAATGCACAATTCAGTTACTGTTTGTTTATTTATTTAAAACAAAGGAGAGCAACCTGGATCTTCTGGACAGCGTAGAACTTCTGAACTACTTTTAATAATTCCCCAGAACAAACTCCAGCTATGAATGCTGAAACTTGATCAGCATTTGAAAGTGAGAAGCATACATGTGACGTCTCCATAGACTTATTAAAATACAGAGCAATAGCCATCTAATGCTGCCCTCCATGCATACAAAATCTGGGGAAAACATTAATACTCTGGTCCTGCTGACACATAGGACCCAGCCCTATCCACTGTACCCATCCTGAATGCTAACTGTGGCTCCTGAATGCTAAAAAATTACCAACTCCTCATTTAAAATATTTTGCGCTCAAATGTATTTCCACTTTCTCTAAATTCATCCTTTGCCAACCCGGATGCCCTATAAGTGTGAGGATTTTGATCTCAGAATTCACCAACTAGTTTATCCATTGCTGAGAATTCTGCAAGTTGAAGTCCACACCTTTGGAAGAAGATGTCAGGTGGAGTCATTTATCTCAAAGACCCTTTGCTGCTCATAGTCACAGATGGCTTGGGATAATAAGCCACCTCCATTGACCAGCTTTGCTTCCTCCAAAAATTGAAAAATTGGACCTTTAAATAGCTGGCCATTTGGCAGCACCCATTAAAGGTTGCCCAAACTGTATCTGAAGGTGATGGACCAGCTACTTGGTAGTTCTTCATAGACCTATAAAGATTTTAGAGCTCTGTGCTGTAAATTTATCCACTGAATTATCTCGCTCATAGTTTGTATCTACAGATTGTTATGTTAGAAAGGATTCATAATCTGACAACTTAAATAACAACAATAATAATAATCAATGTTATCTCACCCTGATCTTGGACCCCAATCAAATAAATATGATTCAAACAAAACAGACAAGCTCTGCCTATCAATAGCCTTTCTTGCTTGGATACTGACACCCAGCCATCTCTACCTTGACCCGATGCTGTCTCTTCTGCATCTCAGTTTCCAAGCGTCGCTTCTGCTCCACTTCTTCCCGCAACCGCTTCTGGAGCTGCCCTTGCTGCTGCCGCATCAGCTGCACGTTTCGCTCCAGCTCCAGAAGGCGCTTCTCATTTTGAGCAGAGAAAGATGCCAGCCTCTCCGTCGCTCGCTTCTTCTCCTGCAGGATCTGTCCCAAGAGAGATGCTACAGAGATGGCCGCATATGCTGGGACCTTCAGCTCCTAAAATGGTTGGGGCCATGGAACTAGGTCCTGATACTTGGCTGTTCTGCCTTCTAAAGTCTGAGCTGTCCCTCCAGATTTTTCCAGCATCAGGCTGGGAGATATAAAAGCTATGGCCTGGATTCCTCACACTTAAATTTAAAAATTCAAATGAGTTAATCTTGAATTTGCTCTGGCTCACATACTCTTTACAAGCCACAACGGCTTGGTGCCTGTAACATGTTAAACTAGATTTAAACTTTTTTTTTTTTTACATTTATAATTAGTTTGCTTCACACAAATTATGTTATGCCATAAAACCCAGTTTACAAACCACAGGTGGGAGGGATCTGCAAAACAATCTAAGCCATTTTGGCTTCGGGCTTTGTTTGAACCCTCTTATTTTCTAGGCTACCTTTGCCTTGCTCTGAGCTGCTTCCACTTTGCTACGATATTCCTGGAGTTTCCACTTTTCAGCAGGGTCATGGGGCTCTTTGCCTTCCAGCTCTTGCAACTGCCTCTGGCCGTCATTCAGTTCCAACCGCACCTGCTCAGCTTCCTGCTCCAAATGTTGGATCTTCAGCTGGTACTGTTTGTTCATTGCCTGAGCGTGCTTGCCTGAAACAGAAAAACTGCTGTGACATAGCAGAAGGTCAGCCCAGTAAGTGACCTTCTGAACAGAAAAGTAGGATATCAAATGAATTAGAAAGAAGAGGAAGAATTGTGCCAAAGGATACAGCAGTCAAAGAAAAAAGGTGAACTCTGATGTTCCAAGAGAAAGCTTTGCTAGCCCTTCCCGCAAGCAGGAAGGAAGAGAAACAGATGACCAAGGGAGGTAGGGATTGTTGTAGAGGAAATAGGGAATGGCCTTGAAGGATAGGAGGAAAAGGATTAAGCGTGTGTTAAGTCCATTCCAAGAAATTAATCTGAGTAAATATCTCAGACAGGCCCCTCTGTAATTCACATGAAGGTAAAGCGAGGAAGGCGAGAAAGGCATTCAAACTTGCAAGATTCTGTTACTATAGCTTTTCAAATAAAAGAAATTTTAGACCGATCTGGTATTGGTTTCTTAGTCTGGTTTTCCTCTTAGGACTGATAATTGTCAAGAGCAGAGAAAGAAACAAATCAGGAAGAGCAGGGTCTTGAAAGCTGCTGAACAGAAAACTTGCTTGGAAATGTTGGTTCTGAAGTTTAAGAGAACTAATTTCATACCACAATGTGACCCAATCAAGAAAGATCTCTAGAGAGGCAACATGGTGTCCATTTCAATCAATATGCCTATCCTGGCCACCTTCTCATCCTATTTTTATTTTTTAAACAGATTTTTAAAAGATGTTTAAGAGTAGGTTAAAAAAAAAATCACCTGGGAAGCTGGCTTGCAACATCATCCATCTTTCTACTAGTTACTAGCATTCTTAGCAAAAAAAATATAACTATGATGGGCGGCCACAACCAATGCTTTCCTGAGAAGTATGCACATATTCAGAAAAAAAGATGAGCCATGATAAAGTTCATGGGACCCAAGGGGACAAGTGGGGGGTGGGGGTGGGGGGAGAGACAGGGAGCAATCAACTTTGTGATTTGCTGTGCCCACCACCTCAGTCATTTAGTGAACAGAGAAATCCCAGCAGTTATTTTATAATGGCTCTCAAAAGTTCTAAATGTGCCCGCTGGTCCAAAACAGTTGTTGAGAGATGTATCCACAAAGCTTCTACATCCTCTTGCCAGTCACTTCAGCTCTATCCTCAACACAACAGCTCCATACCTGTCTTAATGAGCTCCACTATCAAGTCCTCTTTCATACGGATGTTGATGGCCAGCTCACGGATCTTCTGGTGGGCCTGAAGTAGCCGCCATTCTGAATCCTTGCCTGGAAAGCTCCCTGTTGAACTGTCCAGCTCTTGTTGCCTATCATCTAGGACTGAAAATAAAAATGAGAGGTGTTTGGGATAAATTTTCTCACAATAGGGGATGGAACCAATGGCATAAAGACAATCCAGCCTTCATTTCAATTGCAGGACAGCTGATTCTGATTGAGTGTTAAGAAAAGACTCTGAGCAAAAACAACAGTTGAGCTGAGCAATGGAATCAATGACAGAGGGAGATGGTGAGTCCTCTTTTGCTGTGGATGCATAGCTATCTCTCAGGGCTGCTTGAATTCGGATTCCTACTGTACATGGAGCAGGCAGGTTCAATCCAATGGCTCTTTCCAACTCTACAATTCTCTCCACATTTCTCTTTCATGAGTATTCAGGAGTTGGGGCGGGGGGGAAGGAGGGTCTGAAATATTTTTATCCTATTTATATAATCGTCCATCTCACATGAAAGTGACTCTTTTAATAATATTTTAATAATATTTTTGTTCTCAGCTTTGTGAAAGCAGAATAAGTCTTTCTGGGTATTCTTTGCTTTGCTGAAACTTGCCTTCCGGATCAAAAGCGTAGGAAGCATGCCGTACCTTTAGGTAGTTCCAAAGATTTCTCCTGGACTCCTTCTGGAGTTCTTTTGTTGTATTTTTTACTTGTTTTGGTCGAAACCACCTCTTTGCTCCAGCTGTGGATTCTATTCCTACAACAGCACCCAGTTATTCATGTTAATAAAAACACAGGACGCCCATAAGGCAGACGAAACAAAGAACAAACTCTCAAATCATTTGAGTACTAGCTAAAATAAGTCAGCTTACACTTGGATACTTCCATGACATATCTGGAGGGGATGTTCAACTAATATGGGGGATAAAAGACTGCAGCCAAGTTCTATGACTGGGTTATAAGTGGTGCTACGCCATGTGATATTTAATCATAGTTTACTGTATAACCCATTATTGTCTAGGGTTATATACTATGCAAGCCACAATAGTCAGTTCACACAAAAGTAAACCTAAAACAAACAAACTAGATTATGGCTATATTATAGATTATCATGTGTGATATGAACCCATTCTGGGCATCGAGCCAGAAAGATAAGACTGATAGGATCTCTGTCAATTCATGTTAACCTTATAACTCTTAAAGCTGAGTTAGCCTACCATCAGTAAATGCTGATACTTTCTTCTATGCAGCTATGTCCTTTTTGAATCATAGCTGGATTTTTACTTCCTTATCTGTACTGCTCTACATAGGACTGACAAAGCTGTCTGCTCAGTCAGCTAAGGTTCTTCTTTCTGCTGAATGCAGTTTGTTCAAAATATTATCTCAACTTTTCTAGCTGAGAAGCTATGGACTATAGAAGTAAATGTTTCAGCCTCAAAGCAGTCATTGCCTTGCAGACATTACCTTTAAGAGGATTGGGGACTGGCAGAAAATTCAAGGTCTCTTAATCTAAAAGGACCAACCATCATCCTTTCAAGATGCAATGACAGTAGTGCTTGTGAAGCTTTGGAGTTTCATTAAGAAGGCAATTGGATCGAATGTCCAAATTATATCAGCTTTGCAGATCAGACTGACGATTGGACTGAATCAGATGCCAATTCAGTTCAGAAAATCAAATCAATATTCAGAATCAAATAGAGGATCTAATGGAATCAAAGTTTCAAACTTAAAGCAACCATTTTGAATTCAATTCGGATGCTTCATATTAAAAAAAAAAAAGATGTGATACATTACTCTTAACTCACCTGTATTGCTGAAGGGGCCAGATTGGCCAGTATCTATTCTTCTCCTCCAGAGATGAGTCAAAAACTTTGCCCACTGCTTTCATTTGTAGCTTATCCCTAGTCCCCAAGCTATAGGCACTGTCTCCAGTGTGACTGTGGCTGTGTCCCAATGAGTCTTCTCCATTGTGAGCTGTGACACTATGGAGCTATTTAAAGGAGAACACGTAATGAGGAAAAGGCTACAGAGTGACTCTAAGATTTCGTCCACAGCTTTAAACTATTTGTCCCAAGAAGTTTGAGGTTACTTATAGCTACTTAGGTTGAATTTTAATTATCTTCTTCTTTGTTTCTCTTTATCTCCTCCCAGGGAAATAAAACTAACTTATTACAGCACAAGCATGAGCCCCTTACTAGCCAATCACATTTTTTACCACTAAGTTGCACATGACTAGGCCATGTAATCAGGTTATATGATTCAATGTTCCACAGGAACCCCAAAAATTGGGTGAATTGAGAAAACCATCGGTAAGTACACCATAGGAACAGTCAGTGTGCCTCTCTGGCACCTCATTCTGTTCTTGCTTTTCTTTTTCATTAATTCATTCAAAGGCCAATAAACTGTGACACTCAAACTGCTTGCAATATTGTTAGGAAAAATGCATTAGGCATATTTTCAGTGGAGAGACACTTTCAAACAGGGGCCATCATCTTTTTCTATTTCCCAAGATTATTATGTGCTCGCACGGTGGCCTCTAAATTCCTGAAATATCACAAGATTTTGGTATCCTTATGAGAGATTTCACAAGTGTATGCAAAAATGTTAATCTGGATGCCTACCACAACCTCTTCTAAAGGTGAGTTTATTTAACTGGATGTGGGCTGGGGGTAGGAAGGGAGATGTTGTCTCCAATCCAGACCTAAGAAAAAAATAACTCGAGTGTAGGACAATGAAACAACTCACAAACCTTACTGTGGTTATTACAAGCAAGCTTGAGCCAGTGTTGGGACTGGTTTGCATCCACAGGAGCCGTGTGTGGCCTCTGGCCAACCTGTACCAGAAAGACATTCCCTAACAGTTCAGGCATGCCCAAATGGGGCATCTCCATTTTTAGGTACTTCTGGAGTTCAGAGATGATGTCTTCCTGTTCTCGCAATTTGGCACTCTGAAAAAATAAAAATAAAAATAATGCAAGACAAATGTAATTGCCTGAAAGCAGAGCTGCTGATAACCTGGGGGCCACAGGCACCCAGCTCTCTTTTGTTCCTACTGCCTGGGGTTCCCTCCTTCAGAAAAATGAGTAAATTATCCATTTTCAACAATATGATTTATTGTGTCGTTTTGAAAGCACCAATGCAACTTTGGTAAGCTTTGTATATACTCCACATACCTATCAAAAAATGTAGGAAAGGAAGAAAAGGTCAAATCCCAATAATTTCAGCTTCACCTCCTTTAGTGACATCACTGCATCATCTTTAGCTACCCTCAAAAGCTATAGAAATACTTTATTTACTTTATTTTTTAAAAAAGTAAAAAAACCTCTGGGTTCCCTTCACCTCTGGCCCCAACTTATAGCACTTATTTCAATCTAGCATCTTTCAGATGTGCTGGGTTAAGAATTCTTCAACTTTCCCCTAGTTTCTAAAGAGGGACTTCTCAGAATTGCAATCTGAGGAGGACTTCAAGGAAGAAAACTGCTTCAGAAGAACTACATGAGAGACATAGACTCACACCAAATGCCCAGTTGCTGATGTTCTACCTATTCCCATTGACAGTTTGAGTGGACATTCAGAGAAAATCTGGGCCTGGGAGGTAATAAGGCAGGGCAAAAACCAGGTGTCTTGAACAAGCACCACAAAGGCAGGCCTGTAAGAGTACTGAGCTATTGACCCAAATTCCAAAGATGGAGGACTTCCTGCTCCCAATTCAGTTGAAAGAAGATGAGCCCTTAAGGAGAGAAAAAGTGGAGAAAAAGAATCTGGAATCATGTAAAGATGAATGACTCCTTTATCAGCAGATGGCAGGGCAATGGGGGGGGGGGGAAGCTTGCCAACCTGCCAAGGAGATACCTGTGCTTTGTATTGCTCCATTGCATCCTCAAGGGCAGCCAAGAAATCCTGGTTCTCCTTCTCTAAACGCTCCACTTGCTCCTCCAGCCTCATCACCTCCTCCTTTCTCACAGCCTCAGGTCCTCGCTGGTGCTCCTCCTGGCAAACAAAGAGAAAAAGGGCAGAAAGATGGGATTTACCTGACGGGATCTTCAGAAGGTTCTTTGAGCATCTCCCTGCCCAGGCCAAAGAAGGAGCAGAGCAGTCTCATAACCCCAGCCTCAGTATCATACCGTGAGATGCTGTTGGCGGAAACAGCTCCATGCCTTGCACCCCAAAATAATTATGACTCCCCTGGATTAGAAACAGCTGGCTGCAATGAGGAATTGTAGCAACTACTCCTTATTTAGAGATTATCTGATTTTTTACGTGATGAACAAACTGGAAACAGTTTGACTAAAGTAAGTCCCTGGAAAAATAACAATATCCTCCAGGGTATAAAAGATAAGTGATTGCAGAGAAACACAGTATCTTCTTTTCAAAGCTCTGTATTCACAAACAATGCTAAGCCAAAATGTGGTTTATTGACCTGTGTGCCCATATCACACTAAGTCATGGTTTGTTGAATAAACCACAACTGGGTCCACAGACGTTGCTAAGCCAAAACTCATGGCTTGCCAACAACGGCTTAGTTCACAACACATGTGATGCCAAAACTGAACAAGCCACACGATAGATTCATGTAGGGTGTGTAACTGCAGGTTCCCACCACATCAAGATTGGACACAAAATTCAGCAGGGCTATTTTGGACAGCTTTCCAAATGATTAAAGGATGGAGAAGGAGAAATGTATCCCTGGGAGGCTTTTTAATTACATCCCCACCCTTAATGGGCCTCCCAGAGCAAAAAACCTAAAATTCAAGACAATCAGTCGTGTCCCTTCCAAAGACATCACAGCTCAGTCACTTTTTCGTGAGATGGGTGGTATCTAAATTTGAAATATAAATAAATAAATAATAGTCTCCTGCAGCTCTTTAGAAAACAAACCAGGAGTTGGCTAAACCAGCCACAATTGCTCGCTTATCTATAAGACAGGCTCTGGTTTATTAAAAAAAAAAACAACTAAAAGAAAACCTGATTTGTTAGGAGCAAAAGCAGTCAATGCACTTATCTGACCAACATTTAGTAAAAGAACTAAAACAATTCCTAAAGCCCTTTCATTTTTCATACTATATAATTATCTTCAATTATTGACAAAACTGTTGCAAGCTTTTCAGCACATATTTAACTCTTGCACAGTTTCAGGGTTAGATTGTTTTTCTTACAGGTAGAGGTAGTCCCCAGTTTAAGAACAAATTCCGTTCCCAAGATCTGCCCTTAAGTCGAATGTGTATGTAAGTCGGAACAGTATTATTGCGTAATACTGTATAAGTAGTATTGTATAATTAATTCAAACAATTGTGTATTTAATTCGAAGCATTGTGTATTTAACTCCAATTTTGCTACAGTTGGCTCCATTCTTAACTATGGGTCATTCATAAACCAGGAGTTCTTCTGGGGACTACCTGTATTTCATGATTTATTTGAACTAACCCGTTTCATTTTTCTCTTACGTTTCCTAGAGACTTTCTCCTAACTGGCAACATATAAAGGTCATTCATAAACAATAAAATCTGGGGTGAGGATCTTCTCCCTTTCTTTCATGCACCGTTGACCTGGACAGATGGCACCTAAGTGCTCCTTTCCTATTACCTGAGTCTTGGCCAGCTTGGAACTTGAGCTTTTGATGTGTGTCTCTTCAGCCGAAGTGCTTTCAATGCCGCTGTCTACACCCGAGGTCAAGCTCAGCTCACCTGCCCCATTTTCCACGGCACACAGCCAGTCCTTCACCTGGAGCCCCTGTTCCTCCGTCAAATTGCCCTCCCCCTGCAGTTCCATCAAGAGCTGATAGGCAGCATCCGTGCAAGTCCGGTAGCGGCTGCACTCGGCTTGCAAGCGGGCCACGTTCTCCTCCAAGTGGCACTTGACAGGCACCTCCGATCGGCGGATGATGCGCGTCTCTGAACGGTGCCGCTGCTCCAGGGCCCTCTGCAACCTCTTGATGCGCAACTGCAGGGCTTCCACAGGCTCCGCCTCCTTGCAGCAATTCACCATGGCCCAATTTTTGATATTCTGAGCCCAGCTGGCATAATTTAGAGTAGTCAGACTCTCATCAAAGTCCGAGGAGGAAGGGCTGACGCAGGCAATCATCACAGTCTTGGCGTTCCCACCCAAAGAGCCTTTCAAGATCCTAAAATCAGAGCACAATTTCAGCAAGACTGAAGTGGAACAGGAGGAGCCACACATCAAGAAGGAACAATGTGGTTCAGTTTTTGTTCTCGGTCATAAATAGCTCTTGGGAAGGGAAAACCTAACAGAGACAGTAAATGAAAACAACTGTGGCATTAAAGTTCATTATTTATGCATTTCTTACCTTCCTATCAATTTTATTTGAAAAAGAAAAAAAAATCACCCAGTGCATTGTAGAACAAGATTCACACTCTGAATTTAAACTAGGATTTCTTTAGTTATTTTCACTGACCCGACTATAATTGTGTAGGTCCTCGTGACATGCTAAGCCACAAACCACAGCTTCCAAACTATAATCAGCTTGTGTTCTGCAAAGCCAGCCAGTAAAGCTTGGAAATTAGGGTTTATGACTCTGCATGTTGTTTGCATCCAGCTTGCTATGATTCATCCAAAGTCACTGTTAAATCCATGATGATTTAGCATGTGCTGAACCCAACCGAACTATTTCCCCAGTATTGAGAAAGATCACCTACTGGAGATTATAAAGAACAATTCCAAGCAAGGAATTAAACAAACAAACAAAAAAAATGCTTAACATTTGATTTTAAAATGAGGATACTTCAACATAAAAATTGTGGTGGATATTGTACACCTCAGAAAAAGTTTAACCAGAGTTGGTTGTAATTATCTTGCTGTTGAAGATGCAGTTTAGAACTTGAAACATTAACTCACGTGATCTAGGCTTCTCCTATAATTCCACATTTTGTGATGAAATCCCCAACGTCATTTCAGACCAATGGCTGCATATATGACTAAGTTCTCTAGTATTTGGAATCTACCAAGACATAGGAATTCTGAACTTTTTACAATCAAATTTTAAAAGCAGCATTATATTATGCTAGAAGAATGAATCAATATACTGGATATGCAGCAAGCTATTAATATGTCATTTGTCAATATTTGAATAACATTATTTAAAAAAGAAAGGCACAGAGAAGCCTATCAAGCAATTAGACTGGAGTAGAGGTTCTGTCTTGTTCAGCAATTGGGTCAAACCTTTTGTTTTGTTTACAATACAATATTTACAATATATATTATATATTATATTGTAACATACCTGCACTTGGCCCCGCTTTAATGTTAAAGCAAATAGCTAATACAGATATATACCTATGTAGACACACACAGATTTGGTTTAGCTAGCTATTTTGATATAACAACAGGTTTTTCAAAAAAGCTCATAATGTAAGGTAGTCAAAAAGTGTAGTTTGGATTTGTTCCAGTCCTTAGAGGGAAGATATGCTGAGTCCCCACCCCTTATAAGGTGAGGCATAGGGTGGGGGCTCGGTGACACAGGGACTTCACTGCTCTTTGAGTTGTCTACCTCCTGAGATAAGGAACACTTCCAACCTCCTGGCCTTCAAGAGGGCCTTGAAAGCTATTCTGCTACAGGCCATGTGAACACAGATCATATAAGAGGGTTAATATAAAAGGTCAGATGGATTACTGTATTGCTGGCTTACTGAATCAGGAAAACGTCTTTGAGTCCTATAACTTCGTTGAGAGATTGGAAATGGCCAACTGATCAATGACCATGTGAATAAATACACTGCTTCAGCAAAGCAGACAAGAGGACATCCTAACCCAAGCTGACACAGGTTTGGAAACAGACTACCTGGTGATTTTGGAATCCCGATATGGAATGTGGCTGCTTTTCCGGCGGGGGTCTCCCAGGGCACTGATGACGTTGCCCAGGGCCAAGAGGCTGGCGTTGATCTGGATGCTCTCCTTCAGTCTCTCCCCAGTACTCCCCGACTTCACCACCCGCTCAGAACCAGCCAGATCCACAAAGTGAAACTTGGAGGACAGAACCTGCCCAGAGGCTGGAACCAAAGTCTTTCCTGGGCAGGCAAGGCGCGTGAGGCACCCAGTGCTCTGCCGCTGCTCCATGCTCACACTGAAGATGGTGTGAGAACGACTCGACTTCCTGTTGAGGTGGGTGCTTCCCGTGTGTTTGGCTGCATTGCCCATCTCCAGCAGGCTCAGAACTTCGTCTAGGCCTTCCACTTCGCTTTCCTTCACCCCATGGAGCACTGCAACAAGAGAAGGGAAGAGAGAGAGTCTGGGTTCCCACGTTGCAATAAACCATGGTTGGTTTAACCATGGTTTTCCAAGCTACCCCTGGCTAGCTTCTCATAAAAGGCTAATCAAAACCAGTCAGACCTCTTTCTAGATCAGCGTAATGCAGGAAGCTGCTAAAAGACAGCCAAGATGGTTGAACAATAGCTAACCACTAGAACAGTTGGGGTGAGGAGACGAAGTAGCCCTTGAACGTAGCAGACGTGGGTTCAAAACTTCTCTGCCATTACTCAGTGGCTACGTTGGTCTTGTCTGTGGTTCAGCGTGTCCCACAATCTTATATGAGGATAAATCACTATGCAAAAATGGCACTGTAGTGCCTTGTTTTGCAATACATCTTTTTGTCCAGGAAAAAAGAAAAACAGGAAAGAGAAGTGAGGTTTTTAAAAGTACTAAAACAAAGCAGGAAATCTTTCCCAGGGTTTTCTGTACAATGCTGCCAGCTATGCTTTTAAAAACAACAACAACAAGGATAATAACAAAAGAAGTGGACAATAATAATATTAACAACAACAAAAAGAGAACAATAACAAAAACGGAGGGCAGGCAAGGGAAAAAAGAGCCAAATCAGTTTTCAAAAATTTCACTGGAAAATTGAATGTATACCAAAGAATGGATGATGAAAACAACTTCTCTGGCCTGAAACTTCAGCAACAAACTGCTGTCAAACTCTGGCCAAAAAAGAGAAAAGAGACAAGTTCTAAGGGGTTCCTTTATGGAGGAAGGGGAGAGAGAAGAATCCTTTGGCTTATACCAATATTGCCCCTGTCATCTTCCCATATCTGTATGTCCTTGCTAGCCGTGTCCACCTGCAACAAGTCCCGGAACTCCTCCTTGTACACTTCCAAATAAGAGACACGGACAGTGTAGTTTAGCAGATCGTTCTCGTCCATCAGCTTGAAGGCTTCGGCCATGGCACGAGGGATTATGCCCTGTTCATCCTCTCTGATGGAAGCTGGGTAGAAGAAATGAGATTATTAGTGGCGCTGACTGCAGGGAGAATGCATTCCCTCCCTAAGGGAAATGCTCTCATGCAGCTGGGTGGTTGCCTGCTTTGGAGACACCATTGACACATGTGCTTGCTTTTCCACCAAAGGGAGGCCTCCTAACAAGGGCAGGTAAGTTTAGCAACCCCTTTGAAGAAAGCACATTGTGCAGGTTTGATAGATAAACAGGGCATAAATTAACTCAATAATAAAGTGAGAGTGTTTTAGGGCTTCTTTTCAACAAAGGAGGACTACTGAAGTTGTCTTAGGGACAAAGTGGAAGGAAGGAAGGAAGGAAGGAAGGAAGGAAGGAAGGAAGGAAGGAAGGAAGGAAGGAAGGAAGGAAGGAAGGAAGGAAGGAAGGAAGGAAGGAAGGAAGGAAGGAAGGAAGGAAGGAAGGAAGGAAGGAAGGAAGGAAGGAAGGAAGGAAGGAAGGAAGGAAGGAAGGAAGGAAGGAAGGAAGGAAGGAAGGAAGGAAGGAAGGAAGGAAGGAAGGAAGGAAGGAAGGAAGGAAGGAAGGAAGGAAGGAAGGAAGGAAGGAAGGAAGGAAGGAAGGAAGGAAGGAAGGAAGGAAGGAAGGAAGGAAGGAAGGAAGGAAGGAAGGAAGATTAAATACCCACTTATTCCCCCAAGTTTGTACAGCAGCCATAGAAATAAAGAACTACCCCCCTATTTGTGCCCTCCCCCCTATTTTACTATTTGTCCATACTCATATTGGATGATAATGGTGCAGCAAGAGACACAAAGGGAGGAAAGGAGCAATTTTTCCTGAGGTAATCTGCCATTCTGGGATAACCAACTTGGGGACACAGGGATTTCTATCTTCCACACACTTTTTGCTAAACGTAAAAGATTTCCTCCAAACATATAAAATGGAAAGAGGTCTCCCATTCACCTCTTTACATTCACATTCCATCTAAACATTTTGCAGATTAGACTTAATCTCTGAATCCTTATACTAACGAAAGAGAACCTCTTTATACTGAAGGAATATAAAGTTATTATTTATAAGCTTTCTGAGCAGAGACCATTCTTTAAAATTATTGTTACACACCATTCATTTGATAGCACTCTCGTGGTGGTAGTAATAACAGAAGCAAGAACGGTTATGGTAGTTTAACACGTTATGAAGTTTAAAAGATTGCTTTTCTCCATATCAATCAATCAATCAGTTTTATTTATGGCCAAAAAGCCCAAAAGGATTTCTCAGTATAATCAATGTGCTAAATGTTTTCCTTCAGTGATAGGGATTTTTAAAATCTGAATTAATCCACAACTTAACCCTAAAACATTTTCGGAAATCAAAAAAGAGCGGCCCTACAAAAGCAGGATGAGTTATATTAACACAACCTTCCCCAACCTGGTCATTTGCAGAAAAGTTGGGCTGTGCTGTTGGGAGTTGCAGCTCAGCACACCTGCACAGCTCCAGGTTGGGGAAGACTGTATTCACGCCTTCGAAAGAAGGAGAGACTTTAAAGCACGGAATTCATGCAAGAGGTACGGGGAACTCACAGACACTTGCTTCTCCAATGGTGTAGGTCTTCCCTGAGCCCGTCTGGCCGTAAGCAAAGACGGTGACATTAAACCCTTCAAAAAATGCTTCCACCAGCGGCTGGACGCAGGTAGTATATACGGAGTCCTGGTTTGATGTTTCGGTGAAGATTGTGTCAAACTGGAAATGTCGGGTGTGGCCCAAAGTCACCTCCCTCTTCTCTGGGTCACCCTGGAGGCAGATCTGGTGCCCATGTAACTGTTCCTTGGGCAGCAAGGGCCGAATGCGCACCACCACCCTGACCGCCGTCTCTTCCATCAACGGCCGGGCCTTGGCTTTCAGACCCATGACTGACATGTGCAGGAAGTCAGGAGAGCCACAAGCCGAAAGAGGGTACCATTTTTCCGCTACCAGAAGAAAGAATGGTCTGGAAGAGGGAGATGTCTAGCCAGCTTCCTGGGTCCTGCAGAAGAACATGGGTTGAACTACAGTTCCTCTCGTCTTCAGGTAATATGCCCAAGAGCTGGGAGGGAGATGGACCGGAAAGGGAGGATGGGACTTGCAGCATCCCCTGCCCCAAAGGCCTGGAAGGACGGGAGCTGGAGCCAAAGCTGCTTCAAGGGTAGAAACTCAACCACCCCTCAACTCCTCCCACCCCCTGATCTGGGGCAATCATCGAGGCCTCTGCACATGCTCAGAGGCATCCTGCACCCCAAAACAGGGAGCAGCTGTCTCTCCTGCGACTCACCTCACGCAGCCGCCTCCTTGCGAACCAGCCCCCTGCCCCCCAGTCCTGGGACAGCCGGCGCGGAGAGATGGCGTCAAGGGGCGGCTCCGGCTCCTTCCCCCCGTCCGAGCGAGGGATGGGGGCGAAGCGGGGAAGGGGGAGGAAGGGGGAGCCCCTCGGCTGGCCCAGAATGCGCGGCTCTGTCGGGGGAGGGAAAGAAGGCACAGCGGCTGGTCTTCCCGAGCCGGACTGCAGGGCGCATCTGGAACGCAGCGGGGACCGGTTGGTTTTCCAGATGTTACCGAACTACAACTCCCAGCAGCCCCCGTGGAAAGGGATGCCGGGAATTGTACTGCATCAACATGGGGGGGGAGTAACCCTCTTTGAAAGGGAGCGCATCCTCCTTGGGGGCGGACGAGGGCGGACGCAGCCTGGCCTCGGTTTTGCTCCGGGAGAAAAGTCCCTCGGGAGATCTGGGTTTTCTTCGGTGCAGACTTGCCCGGGGCTCTTCCTCCGCGGCCAAGAACCCGCAGCCGGCGACGCCACCGGTAGCAGCATTGGCAGCCTCTTGAGTTGAAGAGTTTGGGGAGGGGTCTATGCCGCTTCGGCTAGTTTTGATTTACCTGGGCAATGCGGTCCCCGCGCGCACTCGTGAGACGGAGGGTATTCTTCGGGGGCATCAGCTTTTTAGGAGCCAAGTCCTGTTCGTTGGAATAACTGGAGAAGGGCGCTTCTCTTTCAAAAAAAACACGAGGAAGATAGATCTTTTATCCCTTAGTTTTAAAAAGCAGCGGCAGAGGAGGCAGCCGCGTGGTTCACCTGACAAAACACGCGCGGCCTTATTTGTTTCCAGCTGTGTTGCAAGATTCCTTGAATAAGCCACGATCAGCTGGGTTTAGCCTAGATCGCCCCCGATCCGTAAAAAGGAAGAGGAGAAAGGAAACATACGAAAACATACTTAGTGTATTGTGGCTTTCTTAGTAACCCTTTTAGAAGTTTGTTTTAGAAATAAGGTGATTTCAAAACCAGAGAGATACATTGTAGCCCACCAGCGAAGCTGTCTTCTTCCATACTGCTTAACCAAGACTGTGACAGAAACAATATTGTACAAATCCAGGAGGCGGGTTAATGAAACAACTAGGTTAATTGTGTTATATGAATGCAACTGGAGTCTAGAAAAGCAAAACAGAAAACTGCCTTGTCAATGGAGCATTCATCATGCAACCCCAGAAATAGCTATATCTTCCAGAAAAAGCAATGTTTTGATTGCCTTGCCAGTCCTTCAAAATTAGTCTTGCTAGAATGTGAAACAGCAGGTAACGGGCAAATGCATTTCCCGGAACATGCACAAAGGCTGAGCACATAGCACAGACTAAGCTGTGATTTGTTTAACAATGGTTTACTGAATTAATCACAATGATCAGGTTTGCCCAACAGGCTAAGTCAAAACCAAACATTATGGCTTATGGCTGAACCCAGCCTAGCTTTAATTGTTGGGCACACACAACCACACATGAACTTTGAACAATGACCATTCTAACAGCATTGGCTGCATTTTAATACAGAATCAAGAAGAGCAACATGGAGGGGAAATTAGGGCTGTGACTTACCTTGCATGTATTTCAGAAGGTCAGATAGTTGGATTTCCTAAAAGTACAAGATTAATCTGGTACCCTCACAGGGATGGACTTCAAGCCACTTCAGACATTAAAGGCTTTTCCACATTGTACCCAACCATAAAAGAACCAATTGGGTGTAGTGGTTAAGAGACAAGGCTAGAAACTGGGAAACAATGAGTTCTAGTCCTGCCTTAGTCATGAAGCCAGCTAGGTCACCTTGGGCCAGTCACTCTCTCTCAGCCCTAGGAAGCAGGCAATGGCAAACTACTTCCAAAACCTTGCCAAGAAAACTGCAGGGACTTGTCCACACAGTCATCAGGAATCAACAATGACTTGAAGGCACCCCCCAAAAAATAAAACAAAACCCCAGACCACCAACACCCAACCATGGCATAGACATGCCTGGGAACCTCTTTTTCTCTGCTATGTCCCCCTGATGTTGTCTTTGTCTCATTCCCAGCCCATACATAAGAAAGGTTTCAGCCACCCACATCTGTATTCATAAGATGTCTTCTTCTGACACTGTCCAAAGACAGCTTCGAGGTATGTAAAATCGGTTAGGCTTTGTCCCTGATCACCTTGGAAGGAAGTCAGAGGACTGCATCAGCTGTCCCCAGTAGAGGCAAGAGTAGGGCAGGGAGCCAATTTGACACTGGCATAGTTTTGTGCCAACTCAAGGATGGGCAGAGAGCTCTTCAGCTCCACAGTCCTTGCTCTCAAGTCCTTGCTCCAGTAGTAGTCACGCATTTTGTGGTGCTTCCATCAACCATGAGAGGGAGCCTTGATCTGTACAGATCTAAGCATGTAATGTACATCCACATAAAACAAGGGTGGGGCAACTCATGCCCATAGGTTGCATGGAGCACCCCAAGATTGCACTGCTGAAATTCCTCTGAAAAAGAGTGTTGGGGTCTTTCACCAGTTGCCACACAAGGTGTTCAATCTCATTTACTGTACCTTGTTTCCTTAAAAAAAATCAGAAAGGGGCAACATGTCCTACCCGACATTTTCTCATCACCATTATCCCCCTGGCCTTTGGCATCTGAAAAAAAAAAACTATGACTCAGATTGCAGAAATGTTGTTCATCTCTGAAGTCAGGCATAATACAGCAGACTTGATCCAAGATATGTGGCCGCCTGCAGAATAACAGATTGTGGGACTGCCTTACAAGGTGCAAATATTACCAATTATTTAGAATCCGAGGCATTGAATCCAATAACTTCCCCTCCTGAAGCCTGGCAGTAACAAAATAAAGTAATACATAAAATAAAATAAAATAATTAAAAGCAACATGTTGGCCTGAAATTGCCCTTTGCAAAACTCCAGGGCCAGCCCAACCTGCTTACAAATTACTACCTTACATGAATAAGATCTATGTGACTGTCATGGCATTGTTACTCTGCAAAGACACATTACTCCGCATATGTGCTTTGAACATAGGTATTGGCTCATCAGAGCCCCACCCCATATGGGATGTGTGTGCAATACACAGAAAGGACTTGAGTTCCTACAGATACAGAAGATTGTGAGTCCCACCTGGATTCTTTCATTGCTCCAAGGTGGGTCCTGCCCACTGTTAGTTTTCATTCTATCTATGGGTTTTGGGTGGAATAGAATTAGCCTGCTAGATTTATTAACTGAATTAATACCGCTGATATTCTTGTTTATTACCATTAGGAATTTGTTGGTTAGTAGCTGCCAGGAGGGAACCCCTTCAGTTCCTCTGGATTGGTATGATCCATGCAAATCACTCCTACGATGGCAAGTGAGAAAGAGTCATTCTTGTTTTGACTGAACAGGGGAAAACAGCTGAGACAGTTTCACCAGCTGGTAGTCTGGACAAAAAAGAGATCTATAAATGGTCCTCCGAATCCCCCTTCGCAGGAGTGCCAGCTTCACTCCCGACCACCAGCCTGTGGCGGAAGTCTCCACTCCTACCCCTGTGAAAATGGAAGCCAACGTGGTGGTCCTTGGAGCGGACAGTGTGGGAAAATCAGGTAAGTTTGCAACAAAACCAATCCTGGGTGTTGATATTCTGGACAGTGAAATACTCCACAGATAGAGACTTGCAGACCTAGTAAGCTTCATTGTATGCATTCTCCCTGCATGTATGCATTCTGGGTAGGGCAACTTTCTCTTTTCTGTGCAAGCTTCATTTTGAAGCTTGCTTTGAAAAGAGAAAGTTGCCCTACCCAGAAAACATACATGCAGGGAGAATGCATACAATGAAGCTTACTAGGTCTGCAAGTCTCTATCTGTGGAGTA